GCTGAAGGCTATCAGCTGATTTTAGCTAGTTAGTAATTGTTAGGTTTGGATTTCTCCAGTTATTTGTTACTATATCAAGACAGGTATAGGATATTTTGTCTTCCAGGTAGTTGGAAGGGTACGGGGCTGCATCCAAGTTGGACAGTCAGGATTATAGGGACGGTCTCTGTCCTTATGTTTTATGTATTATTACTGTTGTGTTGATAGGTATAAATACATGCTGGGGCACACCTTTTGGGTGTGCCATTATTGTTGTTGGAGTATTGTATGGAATTAGTTAGGATTAGATAATTTCTTTTGTTTTGAGGCATTGGTTTAATATAGTGTGGGTTAAAAATGTTGTTTTTGGAGTTAATGGTTAGGGTGGGGCAGGATTTCTGGATAAGAAAAGTGTGTGTAACTTTCTTTACACACAAATTTCTTAATTTCCGAGGAGGGGGAGTTGTAATGATCTGGGGCTCAGATCATTAGTTCTCCCTTCTCCCCTCCTTTCCCTCTCCTTCTCCCCTCCTTTCCTTCTCCCCTCCTTTCCTTCTCCCCTCCTTTCCTTCTCCCTCTCCCCTCCTTCCTTCTCCCCTCCCCTTGGCCGTCATTCGTCTCCTCCTCTTCCCCCCCCCCCTGTCGCCCATTTGTCAGGGTCAAGAGGTTGACCTGAGGGTGGTCTTGGATACCTTGGCTTCTCCCACTCAACTTCCCCCTCTCATTCCCTCTCTTTCCCTCTCATTCCCTCTCTTTCTCTCTCAGCAGCGGTCCCTTCCCCATACGAGGCAGAGTCAAATGTCCCTACTCTTTATCTTAGAGGAGACATCCTTGAACATAATTTATCAGTTTGGTAAACATTGCTCGCAGGTGCACTGGGGCTCCATAGAGGTGCCTTGTCTCCCTTCTCATAGCTGGGGAGAGCTGACTCAATCTTCAGGAATTCATGTAGCTTTCCACGGCAGATCAGTGAAGGTGATTGGCCTGAGATAAGGGCCAAGTCCTTATTGGCCCTAGAGAGCCAGACCTCAGGCCTACGTGTTAAATGGTTGGCCATTGCCAAAATAATGGGTGGAGCCCTGGGGCTGTATTAGATGGTGGGAGGAGTAATCCTTCCCAGCAATAAGTTGGTAAAACAAAATTTCATCAGTGTGTCTTGGGAGTGTAGTTGGAAAAGGGCCGCAAGCCCGTATCCTAGGGGCTGAGGGCAGCCATCAACATCGTGGCCGTAGTGCGGGTATTTAAGGTATAGTAGCACTTGAGTTTCGTGCCCTCAATAAATATCCATTGTGCCTCTAGGGGAATAGAATAGGTTATGTGTTCAAATTGTCTTAATTTACATGTTTCATAAAATAAATTGTATAGCTTGTCCAGTGGTATTCACTTAACTCCCCTTTGATATATTTTGTTACTTTGTCATTTTTAGGTGTTGTATTGGAAGCCCCCAGGTTCTCCTACAATTAATCGATACTAAAGTTGCCCTTGGATTTAAATTAGTAACGTAAATTACACAAACTAATTTTCCAAAATTTATTACTGAAATTCATATTACCCGGAGTCCCATGGTTACTGATTCCTTGCCTTCCTGGGGGATCGGTGATCGACACATTCAGGTATGGTTGGTCGGGAAGGTGGTGGCAGTGCAAATGTGTTTTGTTATTTTTTTTAACTAATAACCCTTGTCCTTGGGGTATCTTCCTCATTTAATATTTCCTCTTACATACGGGGCAGTCCAGTGAGGGGTCATGCTGGACTGTAACAGTGTTAAGCTGGGGTATTGAGTGAAGAGAGACGGAGAATTACAACAGAGAGCGTATAGTATGATTATGAGAGATCACAAGATAACAGGATTAATACTGGGGAACATTGGGTTATTACAATAGAGGCCGCGGTTATTACAACAGGGTAAAGCGGTCATTACATCAGGGTTTGGCTACCTGTGCGTTTCATGTCCAGGGTGTCGAACGTCCTGGTGAACGGCCTGTCTCAGTTCATTCCTCTGTTCACGGATTGGCTGGTCATTGTCAGCTTGTTTCATTGGATCTGCCAGACGTACGGACTCTCGGACATGGACATCTTCGTGTCGGCGTGATCTTGGCATCTCCCATTCTGTTTTCTGAAAACAAAGCTGGACACTTCAACAGTGTCAAAAAGACATTAAATCAACATGAATTAATTAAAACTCAACCAATTTACATTAAATCACTCTGTCACTCAGTCAACAATCAATTAGTTACTTTAAACCCGCTGTCACTCACAGTCAACAATCAGTTTACCACAATTACATTAACTCTTAAACTGTGCAATACATCTATAGCTGGATTGAGTAACTATCACGGAACTGTACACCACAGCTATGTATGGTTGGGAGTACCACATAAGATTTAAAAGTTCCACAGCTACATGGGGTTCACATCAACTTCCTCAGGGCTCTCGTAAACAGAAGCCATTAAAAATAAAATTGTGGGTAACATTCCCTGGTGTGAGAGCCTCAGTATTGAGTGATCAACCAAGGCTGGTGCACGCAGCATGAGCTCACAGCACTGCTGTTCAGCTTGTGACCACAGCATCGCCTAAAAATGTCAAAATATATATGTAACTGATATTATTTAGCCCAAAGCTAGCGGACTGCCCTGTGTTTTCGTTGGATGCCTGGAATACTTTCTGCTGTATCTCACATGCCTGAGTGACCCGAGGCGTTGGCGGTAGTCCAGGTTTACCTTGGGGAAGAGAGGGGGGGGGGGCGAATTCGAGCATCTCAATGCATGTTTGTTTGCTCCTGCTCTTCAGCGGGATGTTTACATGGTTCAGCTTCACGTGCAGGTTCCCTCCCTTTCGGCTGCATTGGTGGCTGAGGACTTGCTTGCTACTGACCAGGCCGGCCAGGGGCAGTGGGGTCCGTCCCTCTGTCAGGCCCACAGCACGGTGCAGGAGTTCGCTTCGGAGGGTTCGGGTTGCCCCGCAGATTCGATGTTCCGGCTCGATTTGGACTGTTCCCCGGTATTTCATTGCCTGAACCGAGGGGGGTTCGATGCGGTCCTTGGTTCTTTGTGGCTGGTTGCTTCAGGTGACTCGTCTGCTGAGTTCTCGGAGTTTGGCTCTCCTGGCTTCCTGGCTATTCACGTTCGGGGGGAGGGGAGGTGTCCCGAATGTGAACGTGCATAGTCGGGTCTGTGTCGCTTTGGGTTGGCGATTGCAGCCAGTTGCCTCAACTTCACGTTGAGGGGCGAGTGCCGACCGCCTCCCGGGTAAGTCCCTCTTGTTTTCATCTTTTGGTAAGTAGCTCCGGGGAGCCAAAGGGGCTTCCCCCAGAAAACCAGCGTTGAATGTAATGAAATACCATTTTCAGGGTGAGACCCGGAAGCTCCCCGGAATCCCTCCCTCCGGTCGTCGGTTTTTGCGTGTGTTTTTGACATCCAGCTTCAGAACTGGGGTGTGGGTAGCCGGCTTGAGGGGTCTGGGGCTTCCCCCTTCTCCCTCTTGAGGAGTGGGGAGCTGCGAAGACGGCGGTGTGGCACGTGGTGACGTCATGCTCATTTGTTTGTTTTTCTTTGGGGAGTTCTGTCCACTCGTTTGACATTTGAGTAGTAGTTTAGGGGGCTTGCAGGCTGGGAAGGAGGCAGGCAGGCTTGCAGGCTGGGAAGGAGGCAGGCAGGCTTGCAGGCTGGGAAGGAGGCAGGCAGGCTTGCAGGCTGGGAAGGAGGCAGGCAGGCTTGCAGGCTGGGAAGGAGGCAGGCAGGCTTGCAGGCTGGGAAGGAGGCAGGCAGGCTTGCAGGCTGGGAAGGAGGCAGGCAGGCTTGCAGGCTGGGAAGGAGGCAGGCAGGCTTGCAGGCTGGGAAGGAGGCAGGCAGGCTTGCAGGCTGGGAAGGAGGCAGGCAGGCTTGCAGGCTGGGAAGGAGGCAGGCAGGCTTGAAGGCTGGGAAGGAGGCAGGCAGGCAGGAAGCGATATATGGGTGTTGAAGTGAACCATGAACCACGTGACCTTTGAGAGTGTGTGTGTGTATGGGTTTGGGGTGGGGGGAGGTGTGTCGGTGGTGGGGGAGGGACCGGCTGACTTCGTAAGCCTAACCACACTCCACAGACCTGTGACCCAGATTTGTTTCTTAAATGTACAACCAGAATAGGGGTTTATTTTGGGATGCTCATTTTTCTGGGTGCCTGATTCGGTCGATGGCAGATATAGAGTGCTCCAAATCACATGTGCATTTCTATAGGCCATTGCTCCTTGTGCCTCTGATGAGGGCCAGGTTCTGGCTTGTGGTCCCTGGTAGGCCTAAGAACTCCATTCACACTGATTGATACCAAAGTCTTATATATCCATATCAGCCTGGATAAGCTCCAGGGAGCCTCCGGGTCTCACCCAGAAAGTGGTGTTTCATTACATTCAATGCTGGTTTATTATAAATTGAGATCAAATGTTTCAACCTCATCAGAATGGTAAATTGTTAATATGTACAATTGTACATAAGGCAATGTTTGACTATTTTGGGCTATCGTGAGAGCATCTTGGGTCATATTGTGTGCCTTGCTTTGGGCTATCATAGTATGCTGTTGTCTTGTTTTCATGGAAGAAAAGACTTTATAACTATAGAGAAAGATTAGGTTAAGCTTGTAGATAAATCTGTTAAGAAATCTTTGAATTTACAACAAATAAGAGGTGTAGAGATCATGTAGACGCATCCTAAGTTTCTTCTGAGACCCTAGGACAAGAACCCATTGCAGTACCTAATAGGTATGACGGAACAGTGAAAAACACAACCACAATATCATGTAGTAGTGTTCATTGAGGAAAACATTTCAAGACTATGGGAATGGTTTGGTTAGGTTTCTGGACAAATCTCTCTCAATACACACTTAGGTTGAAAGTCTAAGAAGTTTATTCTAAGTTATTGTCATATGATTCCTAACTATTGTACTTAAAAAATTAGTTTCCATTTACATTCCAGTTTTACTGTACAGTATATATTTCATAAAAACTTTTTTATTTATTTATTAAATTTTCAATATTTTATCTTTGTCAGGGTTGCTGTGAGACGAAATATAAAGATGTTAACAAATGAAACAAGCCGACCACCTGATTGGTACTCTACAAAGAACTGTGCCTTACAGTATGCAAAGCTGCTGGAACGTGTTGATACACCTAAAAGGAAGAGAGAACGTGGAGATGGCGGAAATGAAACTCCCGGAGAGATTGTCACGAAAATGCTTAGCAAACGTTGGTTACATTTGAGTTTTGTTATTTGCTCAGATATATAAATTACTTTAAGGTAAAACGTTAATACTTAGAGTGTAGGATCTATCCAACTTTCATTGCAGTTGCGTGTTTTAATATTTCAAATCTCTTGTTCTTAATTTAAGAAATTGCCTGAATTTTATAGTGATGCATTTCTGGAAGAGCCCCTTGTGGCTCCCTGAAGCCATCTCACTGAGGTGGCTCCCAACTATTAGGTCACATCAGCTGTGGAGTTTAGTTTGGCCCATTGGGGACCAGAGCTAGAACCTGGCCCCCCTCACAAAGGTCTAAAGGTCAGGTGACTCCCCACCAGGAAACCATTCAGAAAGTCAGTGAACCAATATAGATCACTGCTGCATTTGAAAGAACTGAAACCTTGAAACTGCCAAGCAAACTCTCGAAACACTGTAAACAAATTATTAAATTTCTGGAAACTGGTGCGAGCACTAATGTTAGCACTAACACCCCCAACCCCCATAAATAATGAGGGCTGGAGCTCCAGGCCTCCTCCAGCCTTCCAAGTTAGTTCTGTTATATAGATACCTCTGGTTATCCACCTTAAGACTCCCAGGCCATCAAGCAGCTGTGGATATTATTCTTTATTTAATTTGGCATGACGAGTGTATTTTCTGTCCGGCTTGTGTTGTGTGCGTGTGAACCAGACTCATAGGGTGCTTGAAGCTGCATTAGCTCAGGGCTACCTTGCCTGTGTGCTCTCTAGCACTGCCCCTGCACTGACAGAGTTCTCTTCTTTGGTGTGGTTTGGGAGTTCACTCATTACAGGCTGGACCAAAAGTCAGGGAATTTTGACTCTTCAGTCTTGAACTTTGGTTTTGGTGAACATTTTGGCTGGATAGGGTGCACTAGGGTTGGTGAGCTTGTGTTACATGACACACCAAGGTCACCCTTCTCAACAGTGTTAACTAGCCCGCGTTGGTCTACTTGTGTAATTCCAGGTGAGCATCCTCAGTGATTTGGGCCCTGGTAACTCCCTGTGGGTTTCAGTGTGGCTTATGAATATTCCCCTCCAAAGCTGCTCTCACTGTGCAAGTTTGAGGGCTGTTCACCATCCATGTGCTGACCATTCTTTCTTCCTCCGCCATGCTGCCTGTTGGGTCGGCGACACCTACGATCCTGAGTCCTGTGGAGTTTGTTCCTCCTGTGTGGCTCTTTTCTCAGACCTTCCTAGTGAATTACAAGCTTATCAGGCAGCTGCCACCTTATGGGTTTGGTTTGCCTACCTTCAGTGTTTGTGGTTTTGTACTCAGTTGGATGCCCCGGAGTTGGTCCATTTTGTTTCTAGGAATCTGGAATTGGAAGTGTTGGAGAATCCCACTTTGGTTCTATCTGTGCTTCCTCTTCCTTTTTGGGTGTGGTATGCCCAGCTTCCATCCCTCCCTCCCTGCTTCTGACTCCAAAATGTCTGAGTGTTTCTGAGTCGGGGTGGGATTTATCTCTGGGTGTGACTCAGTTTTCTATGGGGGTAGCTCCTTCCACTTTAGGCATGGAGGCAGTTGAACTGTCTAGTCTTGCTGAGGTTTTAAGGTTTTCTTACTTCCAGCCAACCCCTTTTTCCCAATAGCTCTCCCCTGTACTCCACTTTTCTGTCTCTGGTGGTGGGCATGGACTCCAGTTCTGCCCCGGAGCCTGCATGTTTGGCTTCTGGGGCGGGGAGTCCAATAGGGGTCCTTGGGTTCTCCTAGACCCTACTTGCCCTTCCGATGAGGGCATTTTGCTTCATGGGAGTGGTTTTCTTACTCACCCTCCTTGTATGATTCTGGTCTTTCTGTGGCACCCCCTCTTTAGTTGCATGGGCAGATCTTTGTAAGTACCTACTCTGTTACCAAGATTTTGCCTTTCTGATGTACCTTTCCTCTTTCAAATCTGGGTCTTCCTCACCATACTGGCTACAATACAAGGTTCCAGAATCTTCCTGGCTATTGGACAATCCTCTCTCTTTACCCTTGGGGCTTGGCACGATATTTGCTATTCTGCACACTTGAATGGTGTAAGGTTTCAAATGTTTTGCAGGTGTTTTTGGGTGGTTTCTTTTCTGTGGAGAGCCCCTTCGGCTCCCTGGAGCTATACCGGGCTGATGTGTATATATTAGACTGTGGCAACAGTCAATTGAAGGAATTCTAAGCCTACCGGGGACCAGCGCCAGAACCTGGCCCCCTCAAAGAGGCACGAGGAGCAATGGCCTAAAGACACCCTCGTGTAATTGGAAGCAGTCTTTGTCTGCCATCTACCAGGTCAGACACCCAGAAAGGTAGGAATTTCAAAACAAACTGCTGCCGGTTAAAAATTGCAAACAGAAAGCCGAACTACCAAACAGAACTCCCCAATCAAAAACATGGAAATAACATGACGTCACCACAACCGCCACGCATCCGTCTGCACAACCCCCCTCCCCGGGAGTGGGATGGGGGGATCCCAGACCTCCACGCTGGCAACTCTCCTTAGTTCAAAGGCTGTTGTGTTGGTGACGGTCGATCGCTCTGGCTCCACTCTTTGCACAGTGCTGCAGAGCGGTGTTGTCGCTCTGTTTTGGTGGCGTGTGAGCTAGAAGTAACACAATAGTACTGGGGCTGCATGCACCTAGGGCTACCTTTCCTGGGTGTCCTGTAAGTACTGCCTTTGTGGCCTCAGGGTTATCATCCATGAGCCGTTCAGGAGCAGCTACCTCCGTGTGGTTCTATCGCTGCTCGGTGATTGCCCGCCCTTGGGGGTTCACTGGGGAGGTTCCTACTCCTGTTTGCCCTTAGGTAGGAGGTAGTTTCGTTGCTGGCTGGGGCATGAGGTACTGTGCAGCTAAGCTGTCTGATATACACATAGCGACCAGTTCTGTTCACCTGGAGACGTTGTGCTTTTGCGGGGGTTTTCTTTTGTTATTGCTTTGGTCTGTCTGGTGTGGCAGTAGGACCACTTGTAGGATTTTGGTGGCCCTCCACTAGGTCCCTGTGCTTGCACATGTCGCAGGGGTTCACCTTTTAGTTGTTTGCTTGGTAGCTCTGGGATAACCGGTTAGCAGTACCTCGCCTGGGCTTCCCTTAGCAGTCAGCCTAAGGGCCCCTGGAAACCCCCATTGGGGCTCAATGGTCCAATGTAGGAGACCTCTGAGTCCCACCTCGCCTGTGCGAGTTTGAAGGTTGCTTCGGCAGCTCGGGCACCAGCTGCCTTGGTGAAGTTATATGCGCCATTTCTGAGGGAGGCAGTGTCTGTTCTTTGTTTCTCGCATTGCGTGCTGACAGGCGGTGCTCGTCCATTTTTTGGTATCGTCTAGGGCTCTGGCTTTTAGGTTTTCATCCCCTTTTTGTCCGTTGCTGTTTGCAGAGTCTGCGGTGGTGCATTTTCTGCAGGTGGCTTCATCTTGTTGACTGCGTATATCGGACTTGTAGGTTCTTGGGGGGGGGGGGGCGTGGAGGTCCTGCCCGGAAGGGTCGCGCTAGGTCTCGGGGTTCTTTCGGTCGTTGTAAGCCAATAATGCCAGTTTCGGGGCCTGGCTCTCATACGGAGTCGTTGGCTTGATCGCTCTGAACGTCAGTCAGGTTCTCGTAGAGGTCATCGGCTATTTTCACGGTTCGCCCTGTTGGCGGGGCAGTAGGGGGGAGGCTCACGCTGTTTCTCGCCTGGTCCCAAGATTCGCGGGAATTCGGGTTATTTCCTCTGACCTGCTGTAGTGTTGCTGCTTTCCTTCTTCTTCGGGGGCATTGGGGCTTGCAGGGTGGGTCTCTTTCCCTGCGCTCTGTCAGGTCGTCCTGGAGTGGGTTTCCTGCCTGTTTTCGTTTCGGGACTGGGCAGATCTGCGATTCATACTGGCCTTGTCCTGTCTGATCCCCTGAATCTTTTGATCCTCCTTTCAGATGACCACTCTGTCTCGGGTCCGGCTGCTTTTGGCGCCGGGTGCCTGGATGGCGTGTCTGGACCTCTAGGACGCGTATTAGCATGTCCCAATTCATCCGGTGTTCAGGGACTGGCTCGGTTTTGTTGTGGAGTGACAGACTTACCGCTTTCATTGCCTTTCTTCCAGTTTGTATCTGGCACCTCACCTGTCCTCACGCGTGCTGCCTTAACCGGGTCGTGGTGACCCGATTGAGTTCTGGCTTACCTCGATGATTGGCTGGTGTGGGCTCCCAGCCAATCTGCATGTCTCCTCGCCAGGGATTTGGTTCCTTACCAGCTCGCCGGGTTCGGGTGTACTGGAAGAGTTTCTTACCAGCTCGTCAGGTTCGGGTGTACTGGAAGAGTTTCTTATCCACTCGTCTTGGTGTGCTGGAAGAAGTCCCATTTGGTTCCCTCTCAGGTTCAGACTGGGCTGGGTCTTGTGTGGGATTCTAGGACCGCTTCCTTGTCTCTCACTCTGGCGGCGTTGTTCTGGCTGCGGTCCCGCTTACGACTGTTTTTGGAGGGCACCCGGGTCACACGTCGGATGTTTGGGCAGCAGTGCGGGAGCCTGATCTTGACCGTGTTGGTTTACCCGTCGGGTTGGATCTGGCTTCAGCGGATGCTCTGGTTTCTTCGGGGGCGTCTTGTCCGCCGCTCTCATTTATGCTGTGTTCAAATCCCAGGAGTCTTGCGTCGGCTGCTGGGTCGCTGGTTTTCTCTGAGGTTTTTTTTCGGGGTTCTATGCCCTAACGCTTCCCCGAGCCCTCGCTCGATGTGTTCACGGATGCCTCATCTCTCAGCTGGGGTTTTGTGACCAGTGCTCACCAGGCTGGCCAGAGTCAGTGGGGTCTGTCCCTCCATCGGGCTCACAGCACCGTGCAGGAGTTCGCAGTGGTGTGGCATTCGCTTCAGAGGGAATGTTCTGTTTGCTAGTTCGGCTTTCGGTTTGCAATTTTTGACCAGCAGTAGTTTGTTTTGAAATTCCTACCTTTCTGCGTGCTTGACCTGGTAGATGGCAGACAAAGATTGGATTCAATTACATGGGGGTGTCTTTAGGTCATTGCTCCTCATGCCTTTCTTGCGGGGGCCAGGTTCTG